GTGCAAAACATTTTTAACTTAGAGAAATTTTGACCTATTCTAGGCAGGATTTTTGTCCAACTTCTTGGCCATTTTTCACTTGCTTCCACTTGGAGTCTCAATTTGAATTTCAAAGATGGATTGTATTACACATTCCAAGCTTTCCAAATTGTCCAAGAACTTCTCAAACACCCTTGTGGTTAGGGAGAATCGAATTTGCAAAGTTGGGCAAAATCCACTTTTGTTCATAACCAAATACATGTTCATACAAGTCTCATTTTCAAATCAGCATGTTTGGTACTTGCTTTCAGGCCTCTAAACCAAGTTTGCACTCCATAATTAAATGCCTAACCATTGTGTTCAAGCATTGTTTTGTGCATTTGGTCATTACACATTGAATTATCCCTTAAGTAGAAAAAGCAAACTTGCCATTTTTGAAAAGTGGTGCTTTATGTCAAGTTCATGATCTTTGAAGTACAAGCCAGATCTTTGAGGCTAGATAGAGTCCACAAATTTGTGTTACCAAGAGCAAGATATGCAGCATACATAGAGGGTGGTACAGGCCTGCATAAAGACTTACACTATCCTTGCTTACATTTGAAGAAAGCTTGTAAACTGAAGTCTATCTCTCATTCCTGTCAACACAGCCAAACAAAAACCTTTCAAACATCTTTCATACATCCAAGCAAGCCTAAGGCACGAATCAACCACCCCTCAAACCTCCTCATACATCAAAACACCATTTTGCTGCAAAACAGGGCATCTGTTGCAGTTTGACTTCCACAATCCATTCCACTCGTGCACTTTGGCTAAAATCAGTTCAAATACATTCCATATCATCCATTGGAACTATCCCAAGCCTCAAACACAAGCTGTAACATCCCTAACCTCTGTTGCTATTTTCACTTTTCAGTTTTGCAGGTGAACTTCCATAGCACGATTTAGAGAGTTTCAAAGCAAGCTAGGTTTTGGAGAAGCATCCTTGGACTTCAGGCAAGCTGTACAAAAGCTCAAACTCCATTGAAGTTGGCCACATTACTGTACACGACTCAAGCTGAAACAGGTAAAACCATGAACTTCTATCTCTCAATCTAGGAAGAGTTAGGCTTAGGTTTGTGAATGAAACATGTTCTACTCATAGCCCTGAAGCCATCCATGTACTTACTTTTCATTTATATTGAGTATGTTGTGAGAATTTTGGCCATGAACATTGAAGAATAATTAGGTCAAAAATTGGGGATGAAGAAATTCTCCCTCGTTTCTTAGAGTTAGGTCAAGTATTTTATATGTCTGAATTCGTCTCTTGATGCTCTATAATATTGGTGTTATGAGTTTTGCATGAAAGTCCAGGAATCAGGAGTTAAGAAACGCGCGTTTTTGCTTGTTCAAACAATGTTGAAGGTTGAAGATGACTGGCTTGGGCTGGGCCTGAGTCAGTCCTGCTCTTTGCACCCCCTTTTCCAATTTACACCCCCCTGGCCCATTGTGTGAAATATTTATTATTTTTGCATTTTTCTTTCTGTTTCTGATTTTATATTTTTATTCAAACATGAAAAAACACTAAAAATATTTTTCCTCACATTTTGCATTTATTTGGCATTTATTTGTTTCATTTAGCATATATATGTAAATAAATATATATACTTTTTATTTAAAACCCTAAAAATAATACACAAAAAAAACATTTATTTTTCAGTTATTATTTTTTGTTTATATTTTGAATTTTTTTTCTAAAATATACTTTTTTTTGTAAAAAATTAATATTTTATTTTTGTATATATTTAGTATATTTAATATATAATGTAAATACTTGTATATTTTATTAGATAATTAGGGCAAAAATATAAAAATAATACATTTTTATTTTTATTGATACATGACACTAAAAAATATTTTTTTTTACAATATGCTTTTTTTTTATATTTTTTGTATATAATTAATAAATATTGTATATAATTAATAAATAAATACTATTTATTCAAAAAACTAGGGTTCTACCCTAAATGACAAAAATATTCAAAATTTGACCTTTTTATTTTTGTTTATATTTCACATTGAAAAACACTTTCACATACATAAAAAAAATCATTTTTGTGCATAATATATTTTGCATATTTATTGTATTTATTCTAATTTTTGTACAATTAAATACTTGTATATTCGATATGGATGTAATAGCTTAGAATTTAATTTCTTGTCAAAATATCCCACCCATTCAAACATTTATACCCCCATCCCCATAATCATGTTGTAATAATTTAGGACTTTAAATTTCTGCATTTAAAAGCTTTCAAATTATGCCATGATAGACCTAGGGTTTGTATGCAAATCAAATAACAAATAGCTTGGCTAATGCAAAGATAAAAAGCATGAAAATGGACAACACAATGCACACTTGCACCCCTAGGGTTACTCCACTTGTTGCCTTCAAAAATGGGCCATGTTGCATGTTGAGTGTCTTTGGCAAAACAAAAGCAAATCAAATGATCATAGTCCCTCGATGACGCTTTCTCAAGTTGCCTAAAAAATGATCAAGTCCCTTAAAGAAAAAATTGCCAAAGACACTTGGCATTATTGCATTCATGGTCTAAACGATGACTCGCGTCCGTCCCGTTAACATCCTAACACAAGGTTGTTCACCAAATACAATGGTGAAACAACACTGTTAAAAGGGTTAAAAACATAAGGAAAGATCTTTGAGTAAATTTAGGGGTAGACAACTCTTAGTTACTTGATCAAACTTGAAAAATACACTTGCCTACTTTCAAAACACACTCCACAACACAACTTTCAAAACAACTTTCAAAAACATTGAAACATCTTTTCAAAAAGACAAACACCTTTGTAAAACATTCGAGTAAAGAATTGTTACAACGGTTGCCTAGACAAGGCATCTTTTTCAAAACATTTTCAAAAACCACACACACAAAGCACCATTTCAAACAATTGAAAAGCAAAGGCAAGTGATCTAAGCAAGTAACTAAGAGCCCATGGATAACCATGGATGGAAAGGGTGCTAATACCTTCCCTTTCTATAATCTACTCCCTGAACCCAAGAAAATATCTCAAAGGTTTTTCCTGTGCTTTTTAACCTTTCCTTAGGATAAAATAAAAAGTCGGTGGCGACTCTTGCTAAACCGAACATTTGCGAAAACAAACGCAAACCTCAAGTCAGTTCTCCCACCGTATCACAGTAGGCATTAGCGTAGGACCCAAGCGAGCACAGCTTTATTTTCCGTACATTGTTTTCTCATTTCTTTTGCATGCATTCCTCCTCAACAATAAGCAGTAAGCATATATTAGACACACCCATAAGATGGATAACAAGAGTGGATACCGTAGAGTACTACGGGCGTGTGGGGTGCTAATATCTTCCCTTCGCGTAACAGACTCCCTTACTCGATCTCTCGGTTGCAAGACTATGACTTCCCCCTTCTCAGATTTTCTCGATGTTTACCTTTCCCTTCATGTGGGATAAAAGACGTTCGATGGCGACTTCATTGTTTGATGATTTTCAGCCGGTTGTTTCACATGCATACTCAAGTATCCACCTAGCGCATACATAATCAAAGCCATGTCCTAGAATTTTACCTCATTCACGATGTCATATTCTTCAATTTTGACCTCCACTTCTCTGTTAACAATATTAGGTGCTATAAATTCCATCTCCATTCCATTTCCAAGATGATGATTCTCGATAAACACATCAACCCATAACTCCCTTGATTCATTGGTCTCCATTGGTTCTTCTAGGGTTTCCAATTCGTTGATTCTCTCTTCAATTTCCTCATGCTCTGCATAGTCTTCGTTGTCATTTGAGTACTCTTCCTTCTCATCATTGATTCGTTCCCTTGTTTGTGATTCCATTTACCATGATCTTGAGATGCCAGTGACGGTGACACCAATTTTTTCGGTCGTCCCCGTCCTTTCCTTATTAGAGAGTAATTTGAATAAAAATTTATTGTTAAGTAAATTTCTATAAAGAGATAAAAATGTACTTATTTTATAAACAAAAATATTTATAACATGGAAAAATAAAATTTTAATACAAAAAATGAAAATAAATTCTAAAGAAAATATAAATAAAAATTTAAAATCAAGTGAATAGAATATTCTTGCTAAGTTTTTTCATATTTAGAGATAGAAATATATTAATTCCATTTTCAAAAAAAGAAGAAAAAAAATACAATCATGTAAGAAAAAAATTTAATAGAAAAAAATAAAAATAAAAATAAATATTATATGAAATTGTTAATTTTTCTATTTAAAATATAATAAAGTTAAATATATTTTTGGCCCCTATAAAATTATTAAATTTAACTTTTGGTCAGTATAAAAAAGTTATGTTTTAGTCTTTACAAAATTATGTATACACATAATTTTAGTCCTTATAGAAGGACTAAAATATCATACATACATAATTTTATAAGAACCAAAACATGACATATAAGAAATAAAAATTAAATTTAAAATATTTATAAAAACTAAAAATATATTTAACTCAATATAATATAGACAAGTTACATTATTACTCAACGAATTTGAAAAAAAAAAACAGTAAGAAGTAATGAAAAGTTGCTTACCAAGTAATAAAAAATAATAATGATATAATTACAGACAGTTTGGTTAACAATAAGTATATAATAATAATTTGGTGAAAATAACCGAGATACAATTATTATTCAAACTTTTATTCACCTTATTCTATAATTTAATGAATTAAATATACGATGTCTCATATTAATAGGGCGAATTTTGATTTTTCTCCCTTGAAATATTTTTTTTGTGATCCGCCCCTTATAAAATGAAGATTCTGTTTGGAGAACCTCTTAGTTCATATTTGATTGATTGGGCGTGAAGAATCTTTCAAGTTGGCATTGTAGATTTGTTGACTGAATTATTTCAAATCAAATGTCCAAAAAATTATCTCACATATTGCCTCACCAAGGATCCTTGGCTCATACATCAAATGTCCAACCATTGCGCCATCTGTTTTATTGTTACTATTAATCACCTCGAAATCAATTAATACAAAGTCTTATTGTTCCTTCCATCTTCTTCTCAAAGAAATCATGAACAAAACCAAAACTAACTTTCATGAATAAAATCGTGCAACATGAAACCAGACAAGGCTCCTTTGTCACCCCTGATTCCCTCAAAGAAGCCCTAACACCCTCAACATCATCCCACAAACCAGACAAGGCATAAGCATTTGCTAAGGCAACATACTTTCCAGCATTTACGCGTTCAAATTCAAAATATTTCTTAGACGCAATTTTTAACAAGTCTAAGTCACCGTGAATCTTCCAAGCCCCAAGCAAGGCACCCCATATCACTGAGTGCTCTTTACAAGGTGATTTCAGAACGAATTCATAAGCCTCTTTTAACTTCCCGGAACGCCCTAAAAGGTCAACCATTGTTGCATAATGTTTAGCTTGAGGCACTATTCCATAGTCTCTTATCATTGATTGAACATATTTATGGCCTTCATCAATCAAACCCCCATAGCTACAAGCAACCAAAACTGCAAGAAAAGTAACATGTCTATTAATGCACCATTGACTACAACATTGTCTCCAATTTGACACTTCAACATAACACCATGCACTTGCCTCCCGGGTTCTAACAACGCCAAAGTTGCACAGGCCATGAAAACTGATGCAAAGGTATACTGATTAGGTCTCAAACTAGTCTATCTCATCCCATAAAAAATTTCCAACCCATCTTCTTCAAGACCCTTTTGAACATAGCCCGCTATGATTGCATTCCATGCAAACAAGTCCTTCTTCACCAAGTCATTAAATAGAAACCGTGCAGTTTCTAGACATCCTGATTTTGCATACAATATCAACAATTTGGTCTTCAAATATTCATTAGGAACATATCCAACAATAACCATATGAGCATGAATTCTTCTTCCCCTTCTATAATCTTTCCAGAATATACATTCTTGCAACATCAAGGAATGGTGCAGTATTTAAGTGGCTTGGGTCTTCTTCAAAGGAAGGATTCTTCAATTGCTTGGATATCTATAAGTATCTTGTTGCGAAATAAAAGGGTCGGTTTCATGCTGCACAGTTTTATTCATGAAAGTTAGTTTTGGTTTTGTTTATGATTTTTTTGAGAAGTAGATGAAAAGAATAATAAGACTTTGTATTAATTGATTTCGAGGTGATTAATAGCAACAATAAGATAGATGACGCAGTGGTTGGGTATTTGATGTATGAGTTCAAATCCTTGGAGACGTGATATATGAAATAATTTTTTGAGCATTTGATTTGAAATAATGAAAAAACACCAATTTAATTTACAGAAAATAGTAGTATTCAACTTACAGAAAATAAATTATCTGTATGCAACACTCAACACCAATTTACAAAAATTAAATTGAAGTCATTTAAGAAATCACTATAAATAATAATCATATTTTTGAAAAGCAAAATTTCATCAGCATAGCAAAATTCTTCATATTTTTTATTCATCTTCCTGTCAAAAAAACAAAAATTTCCATTCATCATTTTCCTGTTCAAAAACAAAATTTTCATTCATCTTTAACAATCAACAACCATGTCGTAGATAAGCAAAATTCTCAAGCAACCAACAACTGTCACTTGGAGTCACACTTGGATAATATTTTCTTCATATTTTTGTGACACATATTTTTTCTTCATATTTCTGCAGAATTATTTCAGTGACTTTCCTGTAACATAATTTTCATGAATTTAGTTTACTTAATGAATGAATGATTATTATATATCATATTGATGCGAGAGAGAAACTAATTAATTAAATTTATCAAGTTATTGTATAACAAAATCACTTAAACCTTACCTTAAATATGAAACTTTTTTTTTTTATTACTATATTACGTACGGTAGGTTGATGCCATGTCTTTGTTATTTTAAGACTAAGTTGGCAGTCCCTCCATCCCTCTCCATAACTACTTCGATGATCTGTCAAAGTCAAAAAAGTTTGGCACGTGTACAATGACCACAACTATCATTTTGGTTTGGTCTATGACATACACATGCAAGAGCCTAATATTAAAAAACAAGGATGGAACGTGATTGTAAACATCATGGAATTAGAGATTTAAGATACGGTTTATTTTGAATATAAAGAAAATACTTACTTTTGTATCAGATGTGAAAAAAAGTTGTTCGTTCTTTTTCAACTGTACAAACTGATCGTGGGGTAATATCACTACAACAAAAATCAGTATAGACAACGAAAGAAAACCGTAACTAGATGTATAAAACCGTAGCCTAAGCTTTCAGGCCACGCTTATGGAGGCGTGGAATATGTTGTCGTTGCATATAGGCTACGCTTTTTTAACTTTCGCCCACGAGTAGTAGGAAGCGTTGCTTTAATATATGAATAGGTTACGGTTTTTAGGTTAGTTTTAGACCGCGGTTTTGATTAAACTACAATGTACAACCGTTGTCTATAGACTAATTGTGTCAGTTTAAGTCCATGGTTTTAATATAAACAACATTTAAGAAACCGTTGCCTAACTGCTAAGTCAGCTTATAATTTTTAAAATAAAATTTAGATATAATTTTGTAAATATGACAAGTGTATAATTCTATGATACACATGCAATTTTATCTTATTCTCACTTATTAAATTATATTTAAGTATATTTATTATATTTTTATTGGAAAATCTACAAGAAAAAAGTCTTTTAGCTAGGGGTTTAACTCCTCACTAAGCCAAAAAAACACCTCACAAATCAACATTTGTGAGGGGTTATGTCCCCTAGCTAATCACTGGTCGTAGACAAGGAGTGAGGGGCTAAGCACCTAGCCAATTAACTAGGGGCTAAACCCCTCGCTAAAGGCAAAATTTGATTGATCATTGGCTAGGGGCTTTACCCCTAGCTAAATACGACATTAGCTAGGGGTTTACCCTAAGCTAAAAACCATAATTTATTTTTTAAATTATAAACGTAATTATTTAATTTATTTATTATTATTATATTTATAATCAATGAATTTCATAATTATAATTTAATAAAATAAAAAATTCAATATTAATAATATTAGTAATATATTTTTAAATATAATACATAATATAATTTATAATTAATATTATATTAATAAAATACTGAATCAAAATTAAAATATTACAAGAACATTGTTTATAATTATAAATAAAAAGTGTTATTGATAAAGATTAATTTTCTTCATCGGTGTTACTGTCTTCATTGTCATTTTGTCCTTGATTATCACGCCCGCCAAATTGTTGCATAAATTGTTGAAAAATACACATAGATTCCTTATATTCTCTAGTTTTTCTTCTCATTTCTTCCTCCATTTCTCTTTGTCTCTTCTTCAATTCTTCTATTTCAGCATTTCTTGCTTCCACTTTACGGGCAACCTCAGAGTGCGCTAATGATCTCACAGTTTCCATCATGTCTGGGGTAAGTGAAGGTTGAGTCGATGATCCTTCACCATCAGCAATTTGTATTCTGAAACTCCTATCACGCTGCCGAATTGTTTTGGCGAGACCTCCAACACCATACACTCTCCCATTTTTTCTCTTCCCACGAGATACATCATACCAAGTCTGAAAACTCAGACTAGGATCAGTGGGAAATCCCGACGGAGGTGGTGTATATTCAGGATGCTGTGATAATCTTAGGGCAAACTATTTTTCATACTCCTCCTATTAAATAGAGTAGGTGTTATTGCAATTTAAATTATGCTAGACACAAAAGAAATAAATAAAATGACTAAGTTTAAGGAAAACTTACTTGAGTTTTTCTTGAGCGCTCATCAACAAATTCCCCATTTTTCTTGAGATGAGTCTTCTTATGGAGCTCATTAAGAAGCGGAGTTCTGCCCAACTCATCACGCTAAGTAGATGACATAAAAAATATAGTTATAACATAATCTAAAATTATTGAGTTAATTGCAAAATAATTAAATTTACCATTCTCCGTGCAACATCAACAATAATAATACTACCATAGGCGTAGTTGCAGCCGCCAAATAAATTCAGATGACTCAAGCTAGGCTTCACACTAGACTAAAATTCTTCTGGAGTAATTCCTTCTAGCTTCTTCGTAGGACATATGTTTAAAATGTATGTTGCAGTCGACACGGCTTCACCCTAAAACTCTTTAGGTAAATTATTGTCTTTCAACATACTTCTAACCATATTCATGATGGTTCGATTCTTCCTTTCTGCAGTTCCATTATGCTGTGGAGTATAGGGTGGCACCACCTCATGCATAATCCCTTCCTTTTCACATAACCTGTCAAAGTCTTTCGACACATACTCTTCACTCACCTTCATTATCTATCACATCATCTGATGTAATCACACAATCTTGCAATCATGCAGGCATGTGTCTTATTCTTTGAGGTCTGCTTTAACTTGGTTGATCTATAACTGCTGGTTCCTCTTGTCGAACTTCTCTTTCGACTTGAGTTTCTGGTTCTTCAAGTAGGATTCCCACTGAATCTTTTTTTATATTTTTGTAAGAATTAATTAAATCAGAAAATAAAACACAAGTAAATTTAAAAATAATAGAATATAAAGAAAATTAGAAAAAAAGAAAAAAAGATAGAACCAGGGAGGTGTGGTCTCAAATTTGGAGGTGCAAGCCTGAAAAGCCTGGCCCATTTGCTGGCAATTTGTTGACTTTTCTAATCATATGTGATGCCTGTTGACTTGATGTATGGTGCATCTTGAACATTGGCCATGGATCTGAGGCCCTGGGACACGTGGAGGTTGAATTCTGATGGAGTATGGTGAGCATCAATGTGAGCGCTGCATGTGAATTCAAATGAAAAAACAATATGAGAAATGTGTGAGACCTGGGGTTTGAACCCAGGTCATGAGAGTCCCTAGTGCGCGTCCCTGCCAGCTGAGCCACTTGATTTCATTTAACATATAATAGTTAATAAACAATATAAAATAAAACCAACGCATAAAGATTACACGCGCGCAAATTTGAATTAGCGAACCAATGGTTGACAACGCATCATCATCTTCATCCCTGTAAAAAGCAAAACACATTGGCCACGGTTTTTCAACCATGGCGTTAGGGTGGCTATGGAGAAATAACGAATAGGGCTGTGGTGATCAGAAATTAGGCGCGAGCATTTCATTCTCTTCGTCCAGATGCCAGGAATGCAATGGTGTGACTTTCATGGGCTAATTGTTCCTGGACTGAAAACCCCTAAATTAAAAAAACTGTAACCCTAGGATTCGAAAATGGCAAGTTCTTATTCATGGCACAAAAATGAAATTAAACGCAAGGGTTAGTTCAGAAACATCATCATGAGTATGAATATCTAAAAAAAAACTGCAAGAATGTGCTTGAATCGTGCTATATGATTTCCAAATTTTTGAGATGCAGTTTGACTTAGAGGTACCAGCTGAGGGAGTTTTGATTGATGTTAAGAATTGGGATACGTTCAGAATTGTCTCAGGAAGCTATTGGTACAAAAATTAAGGCTTGAAAAGATCCCTAGCTTTGAAATCAGATTTGCATTTTATGGTTCATTTTTCAAATTGCCAAATCACCTTTGAGCGAGCCTTTTGCTGCACTATGGTTAGGGTTTGACTCAATGCATCTCATGGAATGGAATTGACTAGTTTTTTGGCCTTAATTCATGCTTGGGAAAGAATTGGCCTTAGGGTTTCTTCCATTAACCATTTTTCCTACTTTTTAGCCAAAACCTAGACCTAGTGTGCAAATGAACCTTAGCCTGATTTTTGAGTTGGTTCATGATACATAGAACTTGTCCAAATTCATATGACACCATTTCATTGATTTTTAAATTTTATTTGAATTTTCAAAGAATTAAAATGAATTAAATCATCAAAAATTAAATAAAATAAAAAAGTCAACATTTGGTCTTGAAATTAACCATGGGACACGTGTGTGGCATGACAAGGATGAACAAAGTGAGAAAAATGGGGCCCTTTTGTCAAAATTGGATTTTC